TTATTCAGGGTGCAACCTTGTTTACATCGCATCAAATTTGGGAGTGTGTTTTTTTTTTGCTTCTTGAATTATGTAAAGAATAAACATTTTATATACAATTTTTTATTTTAGTTGTGCATAAGTGGCTCCACTTGCAGAGTTCATGTATTCATTATGTAACATTCATCCACTTTACAGCCTTGGTATCATTTATAAAAAGCAGTAAATAAATAATGGCATACGCTTAGATTTTCCACATTTTGAAAAGAAAATCTTCATCCAGTGCTCTAGTTCATACAAACATGACTGTGAGACTAATGTGAACAGGCTATTGTATATCACTCCAGCCCCCAGTAAATTTGTATCAGTGGCTTAAGAATTAGGGTAATGTACATGAATTTTGGAGTAGTTTTTTGTTCTCCATTGTAAAGGTTAAAAGAGTCCCTGTGGATTTTCATTGGCTGGCTCTAGTGGGCAGAGCTCATCTCCATTTCAAGGTCAAGGCCAGTGCTGTCCAAAGACATTTTCAGTCATGTGACATCACAAATGGCTGTTATCATCCCACAGAAGTGGTACCTATTTATTTACCCACATATGCATGCTTTCAAGCTGCTAGGTTGGCAGGAGCTGGGTAGAGGATGGGAGCTCACCCCATCACTTGGGTCTTGAACTGGACTTCTGGTTTTCCAGCCGACAAGCCCAATGTCTTAATTGTTGAGCTACCGCACTGCCCCATTGTTCCCTATGAAGCTTTCAACATTTTTCATTGATGTTCATACATAATTGATAAACAATTAGAATCCTATAAAATGTTCCAACTTTATCTTTCCCACAAGAGATCATCCAGCACATGCCTGTATACTTTTCAGTTGGCTTTAGGATAATGAAATCCAAATTTATCAAGAATTACAATTACCTATGAATTAACCTTCAAGTCAGAGCATGTATGCATTTACCCTAGAACTCTTAGCTTTGACATTAGATGCTACAGATGCCTTCCTGAGTCACCTCTTTCTGCATAATTTTTAAATGAGAAGTTGAAGTACTCAGTATGTAACCCAGGTCATCATCTTGCAATACTTCTAGCATTATGTCCATATTATAGAAAAATGGATTGTCTGATGGTAGAACTTAAGTGAAGTACTATACACCTTTAAAAGTTAAATTTTTTATTTTGCTTTTAACCAAGGGAAAATATACCAGTGCTGGTCTTTTGCTTCAACTCCTCCAAAGCACATCGGTCCTTCCTACTCTGGATAACATTTTGTAAATGTTTCCTAGTGTTCCACAATGTAGTAACATGCACTTAAAATCCATCATGTTTTGGAGTCAACAGAAGGAAGAATAATTCACAACACCAAGGCAGACACCTAGAGCAGCAGATGATTTCTGGAAATGGGTCAGGTCATAAGATTAGACCCCCCCCTGTGTATTCCATACGCTAGGAAGAAGACAGAAAATAAATATGAGTCACAAGCCACAAGTCAGCATTTTGAAATTTAAACAGGATAAACAGAAGCAAGAGATTGTTAAAAACTCTTGGATTAGATCTGGGTTCTTGTAAATCATCTAATACTGACCTTTTGTGAAGTTAAAGAGTGCAAAAAGAATCTTGGCAGCTTTGATCCAAGAAATTTGTCCTGCAGGCCACCTTTCCCACCCCTCAGCAGTATATACAGGCTAGACAGAAAATGATCCAAAGGAGGAGTGGGAGAATTCATACTCTTCACGCTTACCTCAGGTGGTTCAATAAAAGCCAGCCAGTCAGAAGCATGAGTTGGCAGTAGTCCCATTGACTGACACTTATAAACAGCCAAGGCCAATCCTAACAGGTTGCCAATTAAATATACCAGTCCCTGAAGAAACTTCTGACTTGAGCTTTCAAGTAGCTTGAATGCTGTGGGAACAATTAAAAAAAAAAGTAAGGTACCCCTATGGAGTATGAAACACTACACAGCACACTGACAGTGCTGGATAGAAGAGCCTGTTTGGGGATGTGACTGCCAATTGAATAATCTTTCCTAGAATAACCTAGGTTAAGCAAGAGATTTGGGAGCCTTATTAAAATACTAATATAAGTCATCTATAATTTATCAAGGAGTAGGAAATACAAAGTCAATCTTATGAGTTTTTACCATTGGGAATTAAGCTGCTTTGCAAACACTTTGTCCTAAAAGCAACCCTGAAGCCAAGAACAAATCTGGATATGGCTCTTAATCAGAGGGATCTCTCTGCACCTAACAATCCTCTTTTTCTTATAAGCTTCTAGAATAGATGTCCCATATCCAGTTAGCAAATATTCCTCCTTCACATTATTGTTCCTGGACTGCCTTGGTTTATAGCGTAACCTATAGTACAACATTTATTTGTACCATATATAAACTGCCCACTCAACAGAGTTCCTGTATTCCCAGTTTTTAAAAAAATACTATTTTTGAAATTGTTCAAACTGCACTTTGGAACACAACCAAGACTATTATTTTTTCCTCTAGTTGGAATAACAGCTCCACAAAGTAGAAAATGGAGGAAAAGTGGGATAAAAGAAGGGTTTGGGTGGTGAAACAAAGAGACTTACTAGCAGAGATGGACATTAGTGCTTGGATGGGCCTCCAGGCCATCATACAGACCATCATGGTAGGGAAGATAGAGATTGTATTCCCTGCCATGTACATGATGAATAGGTTCATGGGAATTTGCTTCAAGGGACCGAGAGCAATATCCCAGCAGCGCTAAAACATTTAAGGAGGAAAAAAATAAGATAGAATTCAATAAGTCTATAAAGTTTAGTTCTACATTTCGAACAGCTATAGCATTTCTAATACCCAGTTCCTCCTATCCAAGACATTACCTTTTCAACCAGAATGCGATCTGTCTCCTGAACACTTGTGTCAGGCACCTGCTTATCTGAATAGCCTATGGGGTAGAGAGTGTCTCCTTGGCTGCTGCCACGGTCACTTCGGCCTCTGGCAAAGAAAAGAAACTCCTTATCCAAATGCACATCCCCAACATTTGTGGATTGCTTATGTGGTCTTTTCCTGGGTACTTACCTACCACCACTGCCTGGACCGCTCAATTCAATGGCCCATTTGAAACGTCTTCCACGATTGGTCACCAATCCTCCTCCAGTGCTCATGGTTGCCTGTAAAAAGAGGTAAGGCACACTCCAAATAAGATCCAATTAAATATTAAGGAAGTGAGCAGCCAGACCCTTTTGACCACATGTCCCGCAATCCTGAAGAAATTGCAAGCTTCCTCTTGCATCATTGCCCCCATATACATTCAACATCTCTAGTCAGAAAGCTAACATTGCAGTGGAACCTGGGAACCAAACCTAGGAAGCTCTTGGTTTCATGATCATCACAGATCATCCAAGCAGCTGACAATTCAAATAAACTCTTGTGCATAGCAGTGCCACCAATATTTTATCTAAACCCACAAGTAATCACCCTCCCCAGAATAAGAAGAGTTGGACCCTGGAGGTCTTCTAGTCCAACCCCTGCTCAGGCAGGAAACCCTATACTGGTTCAGGCAAATGGTTGTCCAATGTCTTCCTAAAAATGTCCAGTGTTGGAGCACCCAAAACCAGTAGTGGTATTCAAATAAAGTTGCCACTGGTTCGGTGGGTGTGGCTTGGTGGACATGCTTTGCATGCGTGCGCACACTTTGCATGCACATACACGCCAAATGCGCACTTTGTGCAGGCGCAGAGGCATTTGTGCAGATGCAGAGGCATTGTAACTCACTTCCTGCAAGCCTACACGATGCTGGTCGCTGCAGCAGCTGCCGCGCGGTGCTATTTTACACTGCACAAAGCAGCTGCGCTTCGAATTCTGGCCATAAAAGTGAGTATGGGAGCCTGGGCGGGCAGGTGGGCCAAACACAGAGTAGAGAGAACCGTTTCGGTCTCTGTTGCTCATCGCCGCTACCGGCTCTCCAGAACCGGGCAGAACCAGTCGAATACCACCACTGCCCATAACTTCTGGAGGCAAACCATTCTACACCCATCCCACCAAAAAAAGAGCAGATTATTGTCTCATAACTCTAATTTAAAAAACCTTTTATTACACTCCTGTAGTCCCTGTAACTGTAATCCATAGTCATAAAAACTTTCCCCCCAACCTCTAGCTTTAGGAGTCTCCAGGACTATGGGATCCCTAACCATTATCACTATTTGTCCTGGCTGGGGAGTCTGGGAGCTGGATGTCTCTTGAGATTCTCAGTCATCCAGATCATGGTTGTCCCAAAGATGCTTTTTTTCCCCCCAAGAGGCAACTGGACTTTCTTGTTTTTTCTTTAAAGACATTTTGCTTCTCATCCAAGAAGCTTCTTCAGCTCTGACTGGATGGTGGGGCATGGAGGGATTTATACTCCTTGCAGACAGATGGTCATTTGCATTCTCTTTTTTTAATGATTTTTTAATGAAAAGCTGCCTGCAAAGGAGTATAAATCCTTCTATTCTTCACCATCCAGTCAGAGCTGAAGAAGCTTCTTGGATGAGAAGCGAAACGTCTTCAAAGAAAATCCAGAAAGTCCAGTTGCACCTTTGAGATTCTGAGAGATGTAGTCCCTGAAAGGTGCCAAGCGGAGGAAGGCTGTGGAGAGAGGTGGCAACTTCAGTCTTTTTGGGAGGCGTGATTAAGTCAGGAGGGAAAATTTTCTCCCCTCACTTCTAAGTCACAACAAAACCCCAACCCTAAAGCAGGGCCGGGAAGCCTGGGAATTGTAGTCCTTCCCCCTCCCAGCCCCCGAAAAAGAGCCCTGGTCTACACTCACGGTTCGAAACACTTCAGCAGCTGCCGTCCCGTCACTCGTCACTTCCTGTTTGGCTCAGGGCCACGCGGCCCACCTTTGATGACGTCACAAAGACGCTGCCTTTCTCCTATGGATAAGATTAGTCCAGGCCGTTGCTGAATTCTGATGGCCGCTTTTTCGGGGCTAAAACCTGTTCTGCTCCAACTTCTCCCGTTGAAAGAGTTTCGTCAGAAAGGATTAAAGCGAGAGAGAGAGAGAGAACAGCTACCTTCTCTCAGTTCATTTCCGGCTGAGCTCTGCGGGCTCTCCCGGAAGATCACTCTATGCCTTCGTCTTGTCTCTCTTTCTCTCTGTTTGATTCGGAGACTTCCTGCGCATGCGCCCAGATTCGTGTAAAACCATGAGAGTCTTAATCGGTGAGTGGTGGTCGCTTTCGCTTTCAGAGCCGACAGTCGCCCCTTTGCAATGGGAGGAGGGGCTGTTTTCTTTGCTGCGGGGCTGCTCTAATTTTTTTTCTTATCCCCCCCCCCCCCCCCTTTTGGCAATTGCAATTTGCAGTTCTTGGCTGGATTAGCGCCACCTTGAACTGCGGTCAACACGCGGGATGCGTGCAAAGGGTGAACGTGAGATTCCTCTTTGAGGAACCGGGAAAGGGTCCCATCCGAGGAGCTGAAGGATTTACTGTCTCCTTCACTGTGCTCAGGTCATTGGATGAGGACTTGGGGAAGTTCAGGTCGACCTTCGTTCAGTTTGGGATAGGTGCTCTCCCCTCTCTCCCTCTCTCTTTCTCAACCTGTTACCTTACTAGGGATGCTGCCTTCAAGAAAGAGAAAAGAGGGTTCTTCCTTATTTTTTTTTCTTTTGCAGAAGAAAGACAGGAGTACTCCCATCAATAATGCTCTTTTCTTTTAATTTTGTGCCTTCCAATCAGTGTTGACTGCTGGCAACCACCTGGGTGAATTTCTGCAGCTTTCTTGGCAGGTTTTTTTTTTAAGAGGGGGGGTAGTCACCTCAAATCCCCCCTTTTGCTTCTTCCTAGAGCTGTGAGAAAGTGATTAGTCCAAGGTCACTCAGCTGGCTTTGTGCCTAAAGCAGATTTCTGATGTCCTGGTTTTTAACCTGATGCCTTAAAACCAACAACGCCAAATTGGCTCCTCAGTAATGCATTGCCTTACTTTTCCCTTCCTTACTCTTGATAATTCAAAGCTGTTAAAAATTCTCATTTTCTGCTTTTGTCTCTCAGGCAGGAAACTCCCTACCTCTCTCCAACTGGCCAGTCCATTAAACAGAATCATACTGGCTGAGGCATGTGCAGGTGTGATAAAGAAACCCATGACTAGCTCTGTGACTTCAAATGTTACTGATAGTTGGTCTCAATCACACAGTCGTTTTAATCTTAGGAGTTTTTTTTTCCAAAAGGCAACTGAACTTACTTGATTTTTTTTCAAGATGTTACACTTCTTATCTGAGACACTTTTTCAGTTCTAACTAACTCTGGCCAATGAAAAGGAATTGTATAAATCTTTTCCATTCCTCACCAGTTATATCTGAAGAAGCTTCCTGGATGAGAAGTGAAACATCTTCAAGAAAAGTCAAAGTCTGGTTTTCTTTTTGAAAGCACCTTTGGGAAAATCTTAGGAAAAGCTTCTTTCAGGGGAAAAAAACCTATATAGATTTATATCGACCAAAGAGTTGGTGGGGACTAAAATATGCCCCGCCCTTTTTTTTTTTGCAATGGTCTCTGCTCTATGGAATATTCCGCCCCCATGGAGATTAGAATGGTCCCAGCCCTGTTAGTCTTTTCATAAGTCCCTAAAATCCTGGTTATGTTCCTGAGCCTAAGCTATTGAATGTATTAAGGGCCCCCTTTCCTGGCTGCATTTCTAGTTGGCCAAATATCTTAGATGCTATGTATATTTATTTGGATGTTTCTATTATTTTTTTATTGCTTTATTTTAAAATCATTTTTATTTTTTTTAAATTAAAATATATATTACAATTAAATGTTTTAATTGTAACATTTTTTTTAATTGTAAGCTGCCCAGAGTCATTGACTGAGACAGTTGGCTGTAGAAATTGAATCAATAAGAAACCTTTTCCCCAAATTGAACATTTCATTTCCTTTTCTTGTGGATCACCCAAACAATATCCTCCCAACTTTTGGTTTGCTTTGATGGGTTCTTAAGGAAGAGAGTCACTTGCCATGAGGAAAGGAAGCTATTTGTGTTTATTAAATGGAACATTCAGATTTTAGGAAAGAGACAATCTCTTTGAGAACTCTAAAGATGAGCATCAGAAGCTTTAATGAACTAAAGTTAAACTAAACTTAAGCGTATTTGGTCTAGTGGTGAGAGGCATCTGGCTAGAAACCAGGAGATTGTGAGTTCCAGTCCCACTTTAAGTGTGGAAGCCAGTTGGGTGACTTTGGGCCAGTCCCTCACTCTCAATCCAATCCACCTCAAAGGGGTTGTTACTGTGGAGAAAATTGGAGGAGGAAGGAACATGAGTTATTTATAAAAAAAAAACACCTAAATAAATAAATTTACTGTGGTCACATTGATTTGAGGAAGGGGAGCTTGGAAGGTTAGATTGAAATTTTCAATATTAGCCAAAGAAACTTGAATGGTGCACCTTTTTCCAGACAACTAATCTTCTAGGAGGGAGTTGTGAAAGTAAATTGAAAGAGTTCCCAAGTAAGCCAAAAACTAGCTCCTCAAGAAAAAGTAGGATATGAGTTTAACAAATAAATAATTTCTCAACAGGATTGTGGTTGTTTTAACTATCTCATTCATTATTCCATCATCGCCTTATGAATGTAATTTAGGTGGCGGGACTGGATTTATTGGCCGAAACTTAAGCCGAGTGCTAAGGAGCCAAGGCCATGAAGTCACCCTTATTTCTCGTCAGCCTGGAAAGAACCGGTTAACCTGGGTAAGGAACAGGGGCTTCAAACAAGCTACAACTTAGAAGAATATGTTTAAATCCATTCCAGATTAGACAGTCTCAGTTAATTTCTTCTTAAGTGACAATGGAAGAAAAGTTTGTATAGATCTGTGATGGCAAACCTATGCCACACATGCCGGAAATGGCATGCAGAGCCATCTCTCCAGGCATGCTACCTGTTGCCCATTTCTCTTCTGGGTTCCGGCGTGCGTATGTGCGCTGGCTAGCTGATCTTTGCGTATGCGGGAGCACCAGAAACTGAAAAAGCAGCTCCCCGGTGTGCATGCACGTGGTGGCCAGCTGGTCTTTACGCACACATGTGCATTAGAAATTGGAAGACCAGGTGGCTGGCACGCATACATGCGCCAGGAAGCTAAGCTAAGCTGGTTTCCAGCGCTCTCACGCGCATGTGTCGGGGAGCTGCTATTCCGGTTTCCGGCGTGCATGCATATGCTCCTGTCTCAACACTCGGTGCTAAAAAGGTTTGCTAGCACTGGTGTAGATGAAGAGATGGGGGACAAAGTTACAGAAAAACCTGAAGAATCTATAGGGCAGATAGATGAATTAAGGCCAAAGTGAAAATTTTAGAAAGCAAAACAGAAATAATGAACAAAGACATGGAGAAGGACTTAAACCAGGCCTGTCAAACTCCCGACCCGCAGGCCAGATGCGTCATGTGCTGGGCACATCCATGCCCAGTTTAGCGAAGGGGGAAAAAGTCACATCACATGATGCAGCCATGATGATGTGATACGTCAAGTTTGACATACCTAACTTAGACAATCTGGCATTTCTGGAATGGAGACAAAATACATTTGAGATTTAGAGCAGTTCCCGAGAAGACCCCAGAGAAAAGATTCTTCAAGCTTTAATGAACTTTTTTGAATGGGATGAAGATGATATGGAGGCAGAAATCGACAAAGTGTATAGAATCAACAGACCATTGGCAAAATGGAAAAAAATGTACCAAGGCATATTCTTGGGTAGTCTGTCAGGAGGACTAGAGACCTGCCATTTCTTTGCTTGCTGACAAAAGGTTCTCCCACTGAACACTAAAATGCGGTGACAAAGCAGAACGGTTCGTTTGGATGCTCATTTGCTGTCGATGGGGACAGCAAAGATAATGGTAGGGAATGCATGAGCCATTTGTAATTGAAATGTATACAGATAGTCTTGACGTACAACAGTTTGTTTAGTGATAGTTTAAAGTTACAACAGCACTGTAAAAAGTGACTTATGACCATTTTTCACACTTAGGACCGTTAGACATCCCAGTGATCATGCGATCAAAATTAGATGTTGACAACTGACTCATATTTATGACCTGTTGCTGGGTCCCGGAGATATGTGATCCCCTTTTGCAACCTTCTGACAAGCAAAGCCAATGGGGAAGCCAGATTTACTGAACAACTGTGTTACTATCTTAACAGCTGCAGTGGTTCCCTTAACAACTGTGGCAAGGAAGGTCATAAAATGGGGTCAAACAAAGTCACTTAACAGCTGCTTTACTTAGAGACAGAAATATTGCTCTCAATTTGTGGTCATACGTTGAGGACTACTTGTAATTAATAGTTATAACCTCTAAAATATTGTAGGACCAGAATTGATTTAGTCTATGGAAGATGGAAATCAGAAGGACACTTAAGAATAGCTTTTCAATGTAATAAATATTAAAAGGTTTAAGCTTTTATAGTGCAGCTCACTTCACTCGATGCAGTGGAGTGACTACATTGGTGTAGAATTTAAATTGAGGTGCAGGGGAAAAGTAAGGAAAGACAGAAATCAAGGTGGTTATGTAGATCACATGTAAAATAGACTACTGATTGCCTTTATCAATTAACATTTGTCAACCAGTTGAGAGTTTTTAAAAATAATATGAGATTATCGCTGTCACCTGAAAATCAACTTAATATAACAATAAAAACTATGTTTTGGACATCTCAGGTAACGTTTTCTGTCTAGCTTCTTTCTGGATTTGTTCTGTGTAATTGGGATAAGCTAGAAAACTGTAGTCTTGTCAACCATGAAGAGCTGGCTAACATATACAACCCTAGAAAAAGAAATTACGTCTCATTGGTTGCAAATGTTTGTTGATATGTGTAATAGTATGTGAGGACATTGAGGGATTGGAAGATATATTGCCTAGAAAAGGATTGGATAAGAAAGGCAGAAGCTACAGTACTTAGGAAGGACCCATCTTAATGGATCAAATGGTTAAAAGTATCAGCTAGAGATTTGTATTTTCAGACTTGCAAGGTTCTATTAATAAACTCCCTTTTTATGACTTTGTAATCTCTTAATTCAGGGGTAGAGTCGGGTGACTGGATGAAGCTAAGCATTTGTTCATAGCAGATATTTTTTTCACTGCCTGGGCTTGAACTCTCAACCTTCTGAGTGGAAGGCAAACACCTTCATCACTAGGCTACCACCCCACTCATTTGCAAGATTCTATTAGTGTAGCCTGATAATAAAGTATAATTAGCTCATGTAATTGTGTTTTCTGTCTGGTTTATCTCAAAATGCATTTGTTTGTCAGATTTAAATTACTGTATTTTTCCGACTATAAGACGCACTCCCACCCCCACCCCACCCCAAAAAGTAGGTGGAAATGTCTGTGCGTCTTATAGAGTGAATGTTGCTGGAGCCCCGCCCACCCACCAGCCCCCACCCTTCCCCCATTTTTGGCCTCCCTGCAGTCCATTTTTGGCCTCCAAACGCCCCGTTTTGGCCCATTCCAAGCGGCATGGACTGCCCTCGCCTATCGCCATGATAGGCAGTGGCATTGATTGATGGCAATCAGCAGCGGTGATAGGTGATGGCAGGGATCCCTGCTGCCTGAAATGGGCCGAAAACAGGCATCCGGAGGCTGAAAACGGAACACACAGAGGCGGTGATGGGCACAGTGATCCCCACCACCTGAAACAGCTGGTTGGCGGTATTCTGGGAGGCAGATCCAACTGCCAATTAGCTGCTTGTGCTCAATCAGGTTGTGATAATGTGCTGAAGCTGACCAGGCTGTTTGCTGTTTGCTGCAAGGATGCTAGCCAGATGAATACTGATGGATGCTGGGAGGCAGAGGCAGATTTTTTTTCTTGTTTTCCTTCCCAAAAGCTAGGTGCAACTTAAATTCCGGAGCGTCTTACAGTGCAAAAAATATGGTAAGTTTAGAGGTTTTTTTTTTTTTTTGCAAAGGAGTAAAGATGGAAGACTTTTGTCATATTTGGAAAGTTGTTCTGTTTATAATATTTTTCTAGGTTTTTTCTTTTTACTTCATTCCCTTAAAAGCAACACAATAATTGGCTTGATGTTTTCTTGCGTTGCTAATACTGCTGCATATGCAGCAGCTTTTTCTTCTGTTAATTATGGTGACATTGTAAAATGTGTTTGAAGAGAAAAAAAAACATGACAAACCCTGAGTTTCTGTTTTGATTTCTAGGATGAACTCTCCCGTGTAGGCCTCCCATCCTGTGAAGGAGTGGTCAACCTGGCTGGAGTAAATGTCCTCAATCCTCTTCAGAGGTAAGTCTCAATAATTTTGGACAAGGTCAGTTGCAGGACATGAATATGGTTTCCTGAAATTCACCGACTGTTTCCTCAGTTGTTCTTAGAAGTAGGGATGTTAAGCAGAATTGACAGGTGCCAACAAAATAAGTCTTGCCTCCAGAATAATTATGTTCTGTACTTTTCTGTTCTGTTCTAATCTATTCCATTCTATTTTGTTCTTTCCATGCCATTCCATCAAGGCGTATTGCCTCCAGAATAATTCTGTTCTGTTCCATTCCTTCTTATCACTATATCCCTATCCTATATATTTTTATGTATATTCTATATTCTGTTTGTCTAGAACTGGAGCCACCACAGTTTTCCAGAACTCTCCATTCCGAATGAGATCATCGGGAGGTGGGAATTCCTGAGCTCAGAGAAGAACTATATTTGATTTGATTTAATTAAAAAGTTCAAAACATTTACCCTGATTTCCTTTCATATTTTTAATAATGTCCCCTTCTTTCAAGTTAATTGTTAAAATTGAGTGACCACATGAGGAAAGACTGCATGGCTACAGTCAAGGTTTCAGTTGCTGTGTGGGCCTTGAGACTTCAGGATGTACATGGTAGGGCATAGGCAGGTTTGTGTATTGAAGATTTCTTGAAGACATTGATTCAGTATGGATGATTGGATCATGGAGAAGAACTTAAAAAGATAGTCAGGAAAATATGTGGAGCCTGGCTTCTAGAATTCCTTCCAATTCCATTACCAGTTGTGGTTTTATGGGACATCTATATATTCTTTGTCATGCATTGTGTCTGCTCATTTCTGCTTTCCTCTCTTGTTGTATTTGCATTTGGATGCAAAAGGTGGACTGCCTATCATCTGTTCGGGCCTCAAGACCAGGAGAAAAGGGAAGTTGGTAAAATGGAGCAGTCAACAATATTCTAAGCTGTTGCCCAGCTACTTCTCCCTTAGGGATGCACAAGAACAGGGGTCTCCAAATTTGGAATCTTTAAGAATCCTGGACTTCAACTCCCAGCATTTCTCAAACAACCATGCTGACTGAGGAATTCTGGGAGTTGAAGTCCACAGGTCTTAAAGTTGCCATGTTTGGAGACCCTTGCACTTAGACACATTTGGGAGAAGATTTTTATTTTAATCTGCGGATCCTAACCTAATACAGTCATTTTCAAATTTGTTTTTTGATTGCCAACTTTTCCCACACCACCAGACTCGGTCTTGATCTGTTCCGCTTCCTTGCCTACAGAAATACACCCAGGCCCCAAAGTCCCCTTTTCATGATTTCTTTCCAATATTTAATGTAGTTGAAAGGAAAAAATAAATAAAAACGGATCCTGCATGTTGCCAGGATGATTGGGCTCACAAGCTGAACGTCATCTCTTTCTTAACCCTTATGACCTGTTAGAGGATTCATAATAGGACTAAAGTTCTGTGTCATTAGTCAAGGTATCTCTCCAGCTTGATGGATTGTTATTTACCTACAAGGTAAACAATTCTTTCTTCCTGAAATTCTATGCAGAGAGATCTAGCTCTTGATTTCTAGAAGAAGTTCTTAGAGGCATTCAGATGGGTTTTGCTAGAAACATGTTTTTTTTTTCTGTGTGGAATGATCGGCAGACTTTAAAAATAGGAAATGTTATTGAAAGGACAAAACTTATCTTTGAAAGACTGATGTCTTTGTGTGTGGGGGCTTCTGCAGGTGGAATGATGCCTTCCGTCAGGAGGTCATTTCCAGTCGAGTAGAGACCACAAAATCCTTGGCGAAAGCCATCAGAGATGCTGAACACCCACCTCAGGCCTGGGTCCTTGTCACCGGCATAGGTATTAACCACAATGCTCTAATGTAACTTTGCTATCTCTTTGATTGTAAGTAAGTAGTGAGTGTATAAAGGGACGCGGTGGCTCAATAGCTAAGACGCTGAGCTTGTCTATCAGAAAGGTCAGCAGTTCACTGGTTCGAATTCTTAGCACCGCATAATAGAGTGAGCGCCCGTTACTTGTCCCAGCTTCTGCCACAACCTAGCAGTTCGAAAGCATGTAAAAATGCAAGTACAAAAATAGGGACCCCTTTGGTGGGAAGGTAACAGCGTTCCGTGCACCTTCAAAGGCATTTAGTCATGTCGGCCATATCACCACGGAGACGTCTTTGGACAGCACTGGATTTTTGCGATGAGCACTGCCCCCTAGAGCCAAAAATGACTGGCATGTATGTGCAAGGGGAACCTTTACCTTTAAGTAGTGAGTGTAAACACAGGTAGTCCTCAACTTACGACCACAATTGAGCCCAAAATTTCTGTTGCTGAGGGGGACAGTTGGTGAGCGAGTTTTGCCTCACTTTACCATCTTTCTCATCACAGTCGTTAAGTGAATCGCTGTGATTGTTAAGTGAATCTGGCTTGACCTTGCTTGTAAGAAGTCGCAAAAGTTGAACACATGACCCAGGGACGCTGCAACCGTCATAAACATGAGTCAGTTACCGAGCATCTTGAATCTTGATCCTGTGACCATGGGGATGCCGCAACAGCTGAAAAACGTTCATAAGTCACTTTTTTCCAGTGCATTTGTAACTTCAAGCGGTCATGAAATGAACTGTTATAAGTTGAGGATTACCTGTAATAGGAAAAGGGTTTTGGGAACCGAATTAATCCCTCAGCCTTGATGGGAACTACTTTTAAACTAATTTGTGTGAAGTACGGATAGTCCTCAACTTATGACCACAGTTGAGCCCAAAGCATATGTTGCTAAGTGAGAAATCGGTTAACTGAACTTTTGCTCCATTTTACCACCTTTCTTGCCACATTTGTTAAGTAAATCATTGCAGTTAAATTGGTTGTGAAGTGGATCTGGCTTTCCCCATTGACTTTGCTTGTCAAAAAGGTAGCAAAAGGGGATCATGTGACCCAGAGGTACTGCAACCGTCATAAACATGAGTCAGTTGTCAAGCACCCGAATATAAATCATGTGACCCTGGGGATGCTGAGATGGTCATACGTGTGGAAAATGGTCGAAACTCACTTTTTTCAGTGTTGTTGTAACAGGCCACTAAGTGAACTGTTGTAAGTTGAGGACTACCCGTATTGACAACTGTTGAGCATCAGATTCACTTATATAGCAACCGACAAAATTATGTATCTACACTAAGAATCTTAAAACCATTGGTCTCATGGCTGGGTTCTATCGCATATTCATCAACATTCTGACCAGTCAGAATGAAGGTTGTTGTGAAAGAATATTGACAAGCAGCAGTGTATTTGACTATATATTAAGTATATTAAGGCAGTGTTTGTCAAGTTTTTCAACATTTAAGATGTGTGGACTTCAACTCCCAGAATTCCTCAGCCAGCATGGCTGGCTGGGGAATCCTGGAAGTTAAAAGTCTATACCTTGAAATTGACATGGTTGAAAAATACTGCATTAGGGTCTGCTTGAAATGGATGCATTTTTCCCCTTGAGGTTTAAGATTAATTGGTGTAGCTTGCAAAAATGGCATCTGAGAGTGAAGAGTGCCATTGAGGGAAAAAAGTCAAAACTTTGCTAAAGTGACTTGAAGTAGATGGTGGCTCAGTGAATTCAGCCATTACAGTCATGATTTGGCCTGTAGGGTGTTCAGAACCAATCAACAATGGTTTGTGATTAAGCAAGCTTTCATTATGTGAGGTGCATCAAAGGAATTAAAAGCCAAGTGAATAGGGGTACTTGGGAGCGGCATGGTGGTTTAGAGGTGGATCTCTCTCCTCATAATCAGGAGGTTATGAGTTTGATCCTAGGTAGTGTCAGATATTTCTTTCTCCAACCACAGTGAGTAATTATCTGCTGTGAACTCCATGTAGGTGTCAGGAAGGGCCAGTAAACTCAGCTCCAAATCAGTCGCCCTGACCTCAACCCAAAGCAAGGGATTGCAGGGTTGTTAAAAGAAAAATAAAATAAATTAGGGGTTCTTATAGCCCTACAGATATTCATGAACTCCATTAAGGACCCTCCATATGGAGCTGTTATGGATTGTAGACCGCCAACACCTGGAGGGTTAAAAGTTTCCAACCCTGTATTTAAAAAAAGAATAGGTATGAAATTTCACTGAATAATGATTAAGCCAAGACACGTTTTGCAAACCTCAAGAAGAGCCTGTTTTCTTGAACTGAGTAATAATTTCTACAGCTTTCTTGGGAAAAGTATTTCTCAACCATTTTGGGTAGATATATTCCAAAGTTCAGATCTAAAAGATGGGTGTTTGTCCCAAGAGCTGTTGCATGGGGTACCGTTCCGTAATAAATCACCATCTAATATCTCCTCCAGGATTTTACCGGCCCAGCCACACCACCAAATACACTGAAGAAAGTCCAGGTGGAGACTTCGATTTCTTCTCTCGCTTGGTATCCTCTTGGGAGGAAGCAGCTAAAATTCCTAGTGAAGCCACTCGCCAAGTGGTAGTGAGATCTGGTAAGACAAGACAACATTTATTTGTAGACTACAAATTCCAAACTTCTGCTTTGAAGATACTTTTTGTCTCCAACCCCTGGTCCGTGGCATGCCACAGAAACTGGGCCACACAAACAAGTGAAGCTCTATCCGTGGTATGCAGACAGCACACAAAAACCACACACACTCCTGTCCCCGGAAAAACCTTTCTCCATGGAACCGGTCTCTGGTGCCCAAAAGGTTGGGAGAATGTTGTTGTACTCTACATGGAATCTAGGAAGCTTCTGATTCAGTTCTCATTCATTGTGGCTTTTGATCACAAATGTTCTTGACTATGTTTCCCCTGATGAATCAGGCATACCTCTTTCTTATCACAAACATAACTGGAATAATATGTGGCGTTGGAGTCACATACAGTTAGCCCTGGACTTACAAGTTTGTTTAGGGAACCAAAGTTTACAACAGCACTGAAAAATAGTGACTAATGACCATTTTTCAGGCTTACGACCATGGCAGCATGCCCAGGGTCACACGATCAAGATTCAGACGTTTGGCAACTGACTTGTATTTGTGACAGTTCCATTGTCCCAGGCTCATGGGATTCCCCTTTTGCGACCTTCTGACAATGGGGAAGCCAGATTTACTTAACAACCTGTGTAACTGACTTAACCACTGCTGTGGTTCATTTAACCAGTGTGGCAGGAAAGGTCATTAAATGGGACCAAACTCACTTAACAAATGTCTCACTTAGCAATAGAAATTTTGGGCTCCAATTGTGGTTGTAAATTGAGAACCACCTATATAGGTTAAGCCAGAATGTACCTTGCTTGGTGTGCACCGTGTCACTGAACTCCAGTTTTCTAGCTTGGCGTGTTATACAGGTAGTTCTTACAGCCACAATTGAGCCCAAGGTTTATGCTGCTAAGTGAGACATTCATTAAGTGAATTCTGCTCCATTTTATGGCCTTTTTTTTTTTGCCAAAACTTTTAAGTGAATCACTGCAAGTGTTAAATTAGTAACAGTGTTGTTAAATGAATCTGGCTTCCTCACTGACTTTGCTTGTCAGAAGGTTGCAAAAGGGGAATACATGACCCCCAGGACACTGCAACTGTCATCAATAAGAGCCAGTTGCTAAGCATCCAAATTACATGATCACTGGGATGCTGCCACGGTTGTAAGTGTGAAAAATGGTTGTAAGTCACCTTTTTTCAATGCCATTGTAACTTTGAATGGTCACTAAATGAACTGTTGTACGGTGAGGTCTACCTGTACAGACCTGTTCCATTGGGGGCATCTTCAGAGAACCATCTTGTGATGACCCAGGGTGTGGCACAAAGGCAACTCAGCCAGAGGATTAAGTATGGGTCCCTTTATTAGCTCCAACTTTGCCCCCAATGTCCCGGTTACCTTTCGGTCTGGAGAAAAACTCTCCCACGAACCTGCAACAGCCTTTGGCTGCAGATATTCCAATCCAAACGTTGTAAACAGAAAACTTTAAATTATCCAACAAGGCAAAATAAAATAATAAATTCGGCAGGGCAAGATAAGGAGTTCCAGAAGTGAAGTAACATGGCAGTAAATCAAACCAGTTGGGAGGATGCCAGGAACTCAGATAACAGCAGCTAACACTAGAATAACTCAGCAATTGTTCCTGACAACCATCCCTCCCATCTGCTTCTCCTTTAAACTCCATCCCCAGGTGTGCCTTGTGAAGGGAATCGGGGCCCTTTCCTCCCCCGTAAGCCACGCAATCCATGTTGCTCTCTTCTCCGTTCTTCCCTGCATGCCCTAGGATGAAGAGGGGATTGAGTCTTGATTTTCCTCCTCCCTTGTTCTGCCTCTTCCCTGTTCTGCCCAGCCTGACTTTGCCACGGTTTCCTCCACAGCCAACGGAGCCACTCTCCTGCTCCCTGTCAGTTGTTCGTCTTCCTCCTTGGATTCAGACTCAGACGGGGGGGGGGGGGGGGGGAAAAGCGGGCATAATGCATCTAACATTATGCAGTGCCTAAGGGAAGCCTATATGAAATGTACTTTGTAACTCTGTAATTATATCTTTGTTTGCTTTAAGGTGCTGTGCTGGGCAAAGATGGTGGTGCCATTAGCCAGATGATATGGCCTTTCCGCCTTGGACTGGGAGGCCCCATTGCTTCTGGGCACCAGCATTTCCCTTGGATCCACGTCGTCGACTTGTCAGGAATTGTGACCCACGCCCTGCAGAAAGAGGGCCTTAGAGGCATTTTAAATGGTGTGGCGCCTTCTGCCGTGGACACCACCAGCGAGGACTTTGCCCGGGCGATGGGGTCGGTGCTTAAACGTCCCGCCTTCTTGCCTCTGCCGGGTTTTGTAGTGAAAGCCGTTTTTGGCTCTGAGCGAAGCACCATGCTGCTCGATGGGCAGCGGGTGCTTCCCAAGAGGACTCTGGAGAGTGGCTACACGTTTGCATTCCCTGATCTTTCCTCAGCTCTCCAGGATATTTTAGATTGACCTGAAGAGACATGAGGCTGCATGTCAACGTGTTTCCGTTTTGTCTAATACTTGCTCGGTAGGCGCAACGCTCAGTCTTGTAAATAGGTTGGTTTGTAATGCCGTAGCTTGTTTTTGAGCACTGGAGTTTCCAAGCCAGGAAGTTGCTCTGTTCAAAAAAGTTTGTCTTGTTTCAGAAGAATGAAATCTATGTCATGGGGGAAACGGTGCTCTAAAGAGAAGAAGAGTAGTAGTCCCGTGGATGATAGATTTGTCATCTTTTCTTCTAGAAGTTGTCTTACCGCAACTAAATGATTATCGGGATGGGCAGCAAAATGTTATAGTATCTGTGAAACAATGCAGCAATCTTTGAATGGAGAATATACCAGTGGTGGATTCCCATGTTGGGTGAACTTTTGAATGTATTTATTTATTTGGGGGGTGCGATGGCTTAGAGCAGAGACCTCCAAACTTGGCAATTTTAAGACTTGTGTACTTCAACTCCCAGAATTCCTCAGCCAGCTTTGCTAGCTGGAGAATTCTGGGAGTTGAAGTCCACAAGTCTTAAAGATGCCAAGTTTGGGGACCCCTGGCTTAGAGGTTAAGATGCTGGGCTTGTCATCCAGAAGGAGACAAGGAAAGAGAAAACAAGGATGCGGTGGTCCCAAAAGTGCTTTTTTCCCCCTTAAAGTCAACTAGACATTGTTTTTCTTTGAAGATGTTTCGCTTCTCATCCAAGAAACTTCTTCGGTTCTGAAGGAATGGTTGAGGACGGGAGGGTTTATATTTCTTGCAAACACCTGGTCGTTAGTGGTCTTTTTGACACTCGTTGAGGCTGCTTGGAGGTTTATCTGTGCCCTAAAGGTCACCTAAATAATACAAATGGGTATAGAAAAGGGCTGTCAAACTCTCAGCACACGGACCAGATGCATCATGCACTGGCCATATCCATGCCTGGTTTAGCGAAAGGGGAAAAAAATAATGATAGGTCACATCACGCCGCAAGTTTGACACCCCTGGTGTAGAACCTTCTTGGAACTGCTGAAAGGACTGTGTTACAACATCACCTATCTCCTATTTACAACACAGTCCTTTCAGGAATTCTGAGAAAGTTCCACAACCATTTGCATGATTCAGAGGGCACAGATAAAACCTCAACGAGACTCAGAAAGAGCACTAACGACTGGATGATTGCAAGGAATATAACCCTTGCATCCTCCAACATTCATTCAGAACCGAAGAAGCTTCTTGGACAAGATTGCAAAACGTCTTTAAGGAAAAGGAAAGTCCAGTTGCTGTCTGAAAAAGTCACCTTTGGGACAAGCATGGCCTGGATGACTGAGAATCTCCATAGACAAGGATGCAGAAGGGGGCTTGCCAGAGGGGGAACTGGCAGGAAATCCTCCGCCCCATGAGCTTCATTGGGCTCAATTTTGTCTCAGTCTGATGTTTCCCCATGGCCACAGGTCTGCTCTTGACTTAGGATCTCTTCCACCCCAGTCTTTGCATTAGCCCAACATGTGATGCCATTGTGCGATTTACTTGCTTTTCGCTTTGTGGAATTAAATCATGGTTAAGCAAATCAAATATCCTGTCTTGTCTCTTGTTATGTCCTTGTGTACTCAAGGTGTCCTGAATGCATTTATCTGGCTTATTATGTTAGTGGGTTCCCTCCCCCCCCCCCAAATATTTTATTAACTGGTGAAGTCTGTTTTGAGTTGGGATCAAGTTCTAGTCACCTTCTGGACAAGTAGTTTCCTTAGCAGGATTAACGAGGAAGAATATATTTATTTAAATGCTTTCCGGGGTGATTTTCGATGGCCCAGCCTGCAGCTAAAATAAAAGCTTCTGAGCTTCCAGATCCAGATCAAGGTAATCCAACTGTTGTCACCTTTAGTTTTTTTTAAAAATGTACCATATTGTTTGGACTATTAGATGCTCAGGACTATAAGACACACCTAGCTTTTGGGGAGGAAAACAAGTGTGTGGGGGGGGGGGCGAGAACTGCCTCCACTTCCCAGCAATTGCCTCCTTGCAGCAAACAGCCTGGTCACCTTATCCCAGCATGATTTAGCACAAGCAGCTGATTGGCGGTTGGATTGGCCTCCCAGAATACCACCAGTCAGCTGTTCGAGGCTGTGGGAATTGCTGCCACTCATTGGCTTTGTAACTGAGTCCATCCACCTTGCTGCTGGTTGTCGTCTTCTCTTTTCTTTCCGCCTTAATTAGCATCTTCAGTTAAAGGGTCTGAAGTAGGGTAATTATTGGAGGAACAGTATCCAGGCATTCGGAAACCAGATAAATGTTCTCTCCAAAAAGAAGCTGTGTTAGCAATCACTTTGATCTTATTGAGGGGTGGGGTGTTGATTGCTTTGGATATGTGATCTATCAAGCAATCTCCTTCACTTTGGGCTGGAGAGGACCCAAAACAAATACAGGTAGATGCGGCAGCAGTTGCAAGCCAGGCGTTCCTTGGCTTAGTAGTTCCACTGGGTGGGAGGAAGGCTTAGAAATGGCCGCAGGTGCACAGGGACGAAGAGAGAACTGGGATATAGCCAATACAAGGGAAAAGGAAGAGCAAAAGTGGAGTTGCAGAAGGAAGAAATCCAAAGGCTGTAGAGACCAATTGGAAGAGCCGTGTGGTCAGTAGGAAACTGGGATGGGTTTGGCAGGAAAGAGGTCTAAGCGTTTCCTTCCTTGTTTCCTTCCTTTCTTCCCTCCCTATCCCATTCCCCTCTTCCTCTCCCTCACTTACTTCCTCCTCTCCCTCCCTCTCTTCCGTTCCCCTCCCACTCTTCCTTTTTTCCTTCCTTCCCCTCCCCCTCCTTCCTCCCTCGTCTCTCCTGTTCCCCTCCCCCTTTCATTCCTCCCTCTTCCTTTCCCTCCTCCCCCTCTTCCTTCCTCCCTCTCTCCCTCTCCCATTTCCCTCTACTTCTTCTGCCCCCTCCCTCTCCTATTCCCCTCCCACTCTTCCTCCCCTCCCTCCCTTCTTTCTACCCATCTGTATTTTGTATGCAAAGGGTAGCCGAGCACTTTAAATCAAGGAGACCGGGCTACAAAAGCTTTCGGGGTGACCCCTGAAAAGTGTTCCCGACAATTGCTCCCTCATATTTCCCAACACAGCAGGAGGAAGTGCTGAAATAAAGGAGAATCTCCTATGAGTAACATTTAATTCACTAAACGGAAACAAAATCCTTCCGCAGAGCTCGGAGAACGCTGTTCTCCCCTAAAACTGGTATAGCAGGGGAGAACATTTTTGTCCTCTAACAGTCCTTTAGCCTTTGTGTAAAGGAATAAGAAAGAACTCGGAGATATGTTGGCTATCTTGTTCTACGTGTTTTCCTTAACAGTCATTAACTTTTATCTCCATCTCTTCCCTTTCTTAAAGAATAGGGGAAGTATTCCGCCAGGCGGTGGAGAACATGGGTAGTATTTACCTCAATAAACCCTTATACAATTGTAAGGTAGAAGGAATCGCCACTGAATACAGGAAGATTTCTAAACAAACACATGCCTGAATTGTCCCAAAGATAATTTTTCAAGTGGCATCTTCTTCAGTTTCTTGGATGAGAAGTGAAAGGTCTTCAAAGAAAAACCTGAAAATCCTGTTGCCTCTTGAAAAAAGTACTTTTGGGACAACCATGACCTGGATGGCTGAGAATCTGCATAGACCGTATGTTTGAATTTTTCAAATTCCAAGCACTGAGTTTTTATTTTTCTGTACAATTCTGTCCCCTAATGGGAGACAAAAAACTAAACTTTGAAGAATCAATCTACAAAAAAGGGTGAGCGGCTACTCCTCGCTTTATGACCATAATAATTGAGCACAAAATTTCTTTTGGTAAGTGAGACATTTGTTAAGCGACCTTTCTTGCCACAATAGTTAAGTGAAACACTGCAGTAGTTAAGTTAGTAACCTGGTTGTTAAGTGAATCTGACTTCCCCCCCCTTGACTTGGCTTTGTCAGAAGGTCGTAAAAGAGGATCACATGACACCACCACCCCCCGGGGACCCTGCTACTGTCATAAATATGACTCGGTTGCCAAGTGTCGGAATTTTGATCACGTTACCATGAGGATGCTGCAGCGGTCTTTAAGTGTGAAAAATGGTCATAAGTCACTTTTTTTCATTGCCGTTGTAAGTGGTCACTAAATGAACTGTTGTAAGTTGAGGATTATCTGTAGTTAGAAGGAATAACAGAAATTAATGACCAGTGCAGTGGCCTAGAGGTGGAGCTCTCGCCTCACAATCAGGAGGCTGGGAGTTCGATCCTTGGTAGAGGCTGATATTTGGAATACACTCTGCTGCTCGAGCCTGGGGTTGGACTAGATGACCTCCCAGGTCCCTTCCAACTTAATTCTATTCTGTTATTCTATTCTAATGTCTCCTTTAAAAAATACAAAAGAATAACAGAATCGCAAAAGGTGATAACTTCCTGGGACGCTGCAACCATTATAAATACATGCCAGTTGCCAAGTGGGGATATTAAAATGATCGTAAGTGTGGAAAAACAATCATTAGTCATTTTTTTTTCAGTGCCGTCATGACTTCAAACCAGTCACTAAATGAACGGTTGTAAGTCAAGGTCTACCTGTATAATGCTGAGCGGAAAAATGTTCAGAGACTGGGCAGGGTTACCGATTTCTCACATCTCAATTTTGCAAACTGAAATGTCCCCAGGTTACTTTAGGGACAGTAGGGTAAAAGCATGTATTTTGGGAAAAGAAAGATAAAATGTGTCAAAACAGTCCCGCTTCTGCAGCCTTCTCAGATGCCTGTGCATTTTTAATTTGTTATATTTTGGGGGGAATCACGGTTGCTAATTTTTGGAATGAAATCCCCCCTTTTGATCTTCAAGTACTTGAGTATTTCAGTTGGAGTGTTTGAGCATTCCAGGATTTGAGAGGGTGCCACAAAGAAGAGGGGGACAGCCTATTTTCCAAAGCACCAGAAGTCAAGACAGGAAACCATGGAGGGAAACTAATCAAGGAGAGAAGCAACCTGGAATTAAGGAGAGACTTCCTCACAGTGAGAATTAATCAGTGGAATAGCTTGCTTTCAGTAGTTGTGGGTTCTCTCAACAAGGGAGGCTTTTAAGAAAAGACCAGACAGCCACCTGTCTGAAATGGTATAGGGCAGAGGTGGGTATTCAGCAGGTTTTCTGACCAGTTCTGGAGAACCAGTAGCGGAAATTTTGAATAGTTCAGAGAACCGGCAAATACCACCTCTGACTGGCCCTGCCCCCACCTATTCTCTGCCTCCCGAGTCCCAGCTGATTGGCTGGGTCTTCTTTGGTTGCCCTGCACAGGAGAACAGAGCTGGAAAGCAGGTTAGTGGGGTGGGGAGGGAATGGAGATTTTGCAGTAACCTTCCCCTGCCATGCCCACCAAGCCACACCATGCTCACAGAACTGGTAGTAAAAGATTTTGAATCCCACCACTGGTATAGGGTCTCCTGCTTGAGCATGGGGTTGGACTAGAAC